AAACCGGGCCTTCTCGGCGGTGGCTCCTCGCCTCTGGAACAATCTTCCTCCGGCGATTCGCGTGGCCCCCACGCTGGGCACCTTTAAAACCCAATTAAAAACATAGCTGTTTATTCAGGCCTTCCCTCCAGCCAACTCTTGATTTTTTTCTTACTTTTCCTTTTTATTTTTACTGCTGTTCTTGTTTGATTATTATGTATTTGTCTATGTTTTATTATTTGATTTTATATTTGGAAGCCGCCTAGAGTGGTCCGGTGGGGTATAAATTAAATTAAATAAATAAATAAATAAATAAATAAATAAATAAATAAATAAATAAATAAATAAATATTTGGAAGGAGGAAATAGGGAATGCATGCATTGTAGACAGATTGTCACCTCCATTGGAAAAGAACTTCCTGGGATGTACATAGGCCTTAGTCAAGGCAATGGAGGATCAAATTATATACTATCATTAGAGCTAATATCACATCAATTTTCCCACAAATGATCCAGGTAATCTTTTAGTTCTGAAAAGTCATATTTACAAAGATGAATGTGATTATGTTCTGAACAGCAAACTAAAATAAAACAACCTGATTTGCATACTCTGGAAAATGAGAAAAACCTTTGCTGTGCCAATCACACACAATTCACAGTTAAGGAATTTCCTTACCTATCATATAGATTGTCCCTGAGAGGTAGGGTCACTATATGTTGGTTCAGACTTGAAGGCACATAACAACAATAATGAAGCTACTCCCTTATTTGGGGAATTTATATAAGGACCACATGGAAGGGTTTTTTAGTTTGCACTTTGTAATACTCATTAACTTTAGAGCAGGAGTTTTAAACTCAATTTACCTGGGGGCCACTAGAGGCAGAGTCTGGGTGAGGCTGGGCCGCATCAGATTTTCTGCCAAGCGGAGCAAGAGCCCGAGGAAGCCGCCCAGGAGTTTCCTTAGCCGACAGACAGGTGGGCTGGCTGGCAGGCTGCAGTTCTGGATGGAGGGGGCAAGAGGTGCTGTCTTGAGAGAGAGCCGGCGAGCGAGGCAAGGCTTTTTTTTACTCTTGACAGCAGAGGATGTGTGGGCGCTTGGGGGGGGCAGGCAAGGCGAGGGCCACAAACTATCATCTGGGGGGCTGCATGTTTGAGACCCCTGCTTTAGAGGGAAGAGGCCAGAGGGAAAAGGGAGATTATCAGGAGGAAAGGATGGGTCTAGGGAGGAGGGCCAAAGAATAATAATGAAACTTTCAGACTACAGGGCAGTTGCAGAGTGGTTCCCTTGTTAGTTAGATGCCCAAATCCTGGAGCTAGCCCTGCAAGTATTGTACATATCTCTAGTCATTCATATGCATTTCTGTATATTGGCAGGTTGGAGTATAAATATTCCAAACTGGTGATGAATGCCAGTGCCAAGGATAATGAGCTGCCAGCTGCTGATAGTTGTGCCATCATGGAGGGGGAAGATGCAGAGGATGACCTGATATTTACAAGCAAGAATTCTCTCTTTGGCAAAATAAAGGCATTCACTTCAAAGGTAAGTTGTTTGTGGAATCTTGGCATTATAATGGGCCAGAATGAAACAACAGAGACCTTTTAAGCTTGACTCCAGAATTTATTTAACCCGATAGATGAGGCATATAGAATTATAGAATCATGAAGTTGGAAGGGGCCTCTAAGACCATCGAGTCCAACACCCTGCTCAATGCAGGAATACAAATCAAAACCTATCTGCCAAGTGGTTGTCCAAATTTCTCTTCAATAGCACATTGTCTTGTCTTGCCCCATCTAAGTAGACCACTTCTTAATTCACCTGATAGACAAAGTAGCCATGAGGTATACAAATGTCTTCCTCTTTGATTTCTGACTTGCGCTATTGGTAGGTCATGATTTTGGCTAGCATAGGTTGTGGACTGTGCAAGCCTTCAGGATGTAGCTTGAGGGAGGTATTCATTTGAGCCTGGTTCTCCTCTTCTACCCTGCTAGAAACCTTGACAGAGATGAACAGCCCAATTGAAAAGGGACACTTTTCCCAAAATAAATATATCAGATGTAGGTAATATTCTGAGGTCCAGAAGAGCATTGCCATGAGATCCCCTATAAATCTGACACCAAGAAAAACAATCTTTAATTGCTGTAGCAGCCTCACGCATGGTTAGGACAGATATGCAATCCTGTCTCGCTCCTATCACACTCTGCTTGCGCTGCTGTGTTTCCTACTGCATTGACTGATATTCTGGTTAATAGTGCACTGCTTCCCTCTCACCGCCCCTTTATATTCTAATGTGGCTATTTGTTTTCCTGTAGGCACCTCTTAAGTACAGTCAGGCATGGCAGGAGTCTGTGTGTAGGGATGTTCTCAATAAACTAAGAGGAAGAGTCTTCCAGGTAGATAGAGATAAAATATAGATATTACTGTCTTGTCTTCATGTGTCTAAAAACAAGCCAGCTGACTGAGGGCATTCAACAATCCAATGGCATTAGAAGGGACAACAATGTGATCTAGTGATGTCTAGCTGGGACTTAGTGGGTGGGGGCCATATTTGGAAAAATCAGAGTGATGCTGCCAGCTTTCTGCACTTGTAGCCTCCTTTCTTTGATGGCGGCAGGCAAGGGCGCAGAATGTATACAGGAAACACACGAAGGGGACTTTGCCTGATATGCTTGCACAGACTAACATGGCTGCCTCTTCTAAAACTACACTAAAGGGAGCTAATTCAAGCTGCAAGTACAGGGTCCTAATCTAATGAGGAAAAGTCCTTGAGCCCTGGCTTGTCTCTGGAACAAGTGGCTGCTCTTTGTGCTGTTGAGAGTAACTGCATGATTGGCTCTGTGTTGTCTGCCTGCATAGCTGCCTCCTGCTCGGCTGCATGTTTTGGGGATCAGAGCCAGGGCTGCCCACTGGGCCTCTGATGCAGCAGAGCTTAGGAGAACAGAGGTGGAGCCATCAGAACCTAGGCCTTGCTGTCTCAATTCCAGATATGGGATGAGTTGTGGGAATTTACTCTGTATATTCAGCATTGTGAGTTGCTTCCTCCCTCCCTCTTGCCAGTTAAAAGTAAATTGGGCATGTCTGCTCTGATCCCCAAACAATTTTCTTAGTAAAAATATTGAGTAAGTTTTTATGTTTACAGAAACTTGATTGGTTTTAGTCAGCTCTGAGTCCCCAGTATTGTGCATTTTTAGGCTTTGTTATATATTTATCTTGAACAGCTCCTACCCCTTCCTCAATATGGCAAATAATAATTGAGTCTTCTCTCTCTCTCTGTCTTTCTCTCTTAACCACTCAAAAGTAATTACTGTAGTCACTGTTGCAGATGAAGTGAATTGCTTTCTTGGGTCGCTAGTGAAATGAATGCTGAATGGGATTTGAACCTGGTCTATTGTATCCACTGTCCTATCTAGCAGCTCCCATAATCACTGTGGGCAGTCTTTCTGGAGTGAAGGATGCTGAGTGATTCTCAGTTGGCTAAAGACAACTCTCACTTTTCCCAACAGCTGGTTCTTCTAAATACTGTACTGTACACTGAAATCCAACAACAGTAGCTGCCACACTGGCATTACTTTTCTGCTGTCAGTTAAAAGTAAAATTATAATGATAATTCCAATTGGCACTTAATACAATATGTGTTCCCTGAAACAATCCTGCAGTGTCCACCTTCATGGGCCAAATCCTTATTATTTTGTCTTAAAAGTGTTATTGGCTCAGTGGGGTCTTTTCCCACTATGATATATTTAGGACTGCTGCTTCCAATCAGTAAGTGTCTCCCTATTTTTTAAAGCAACTTCTGCAGTGGGACCTTTAAACAGTAGCCTTTTATTCACTCTTAGCTTCATCAATATTAAATTGGGCCTTAAATAATCTGATCCTTTCTGTTAGAGCAGTTGCTCTTAGCAGCTAGAGCAACTAATTGTTCTTTATTGTGCGTTATTTCAACCTTGATAGTAACAAATTGAAGACAAGTAGTAATTGTTTTGACTGCAGAATAGAAACAAGCAAAAAATGTTCTCTTTCCCCTGCAGGGAAGAGGGACTAAGGGCCAGTTACTTAGAAAATGCAAGAATCAACAGGATGGCAATGACATTGTTGGGATTCTCTGTAAAAACTGAAGGAATAAATGTTGCCAACTTTGGAGAAAAGCCATAGTGCAGAAATACTTAAGAGTTATTTCCCAGCAGCTGAACTCCACCTTCTAGGCAAGATTACTGATGGTAGTTCTTCTCCAGGCCTCCATGGGACTGTTTACTTCCAGTAGGAGCAGAGCCATGTTTGGGGACCTAGGACAGCAAAAGGACATTTCTGGCAAGACTTACAGCATTCTTGGTTGCTACTGAAAGTCCCACCAACACTGAAGCACACCCAGAAAAGCATGCCTGGAAGGAAAAGTTAGAAGGGGGAGGAGTGGTACCATACAGCTGCAGCAGGGAAAATTCAAACCCTGGAGCTAAATCCAGCCCTTCTGAGGTCCCAGTCATTGGTTCCCACCAATGGCCATGGCCTTTCTTCAGGTTGCCATATTTTAGTGGTTTGCAAGCTTTTGTACAAGGTTTTTTTGAATTCCAAAAATTGAAATAGCTTCAATTGACAACAAGAGCTTTAAGTTAAAGTTTTAAGACCCTTCTGTTATTCATCCTGCCTACCAATGCAGTATGGTTCCCAAGAACATTGGGCTGAAAGATGTTCCCCACCTTTTTTTACAGCTTTGTGAGAGCTGCTCTGGTCTATTTAGTAGGTGTAAAGAGTAGGATTGCACTCTGTTCTTGCCAAGTTGTTAAATATGGGAATATAGCAAAATCTGAAAAACATATAAATCTTTCTTATTTAGCTTTACTCACACTTCCTTTTATGTTGTCTTTAGAGAACATCTGATGGTTTTGACTCCGTGCCACTGAAGACCTCCTCTAGCACCACTGACATGGACCTTTAGGAGCAGATTGCCCACCTCCCATATCCTTCCTGCAGGATGCTTTGGGAGTTCTCCTTGGTTAACATCTGCACTTTGATGAACTTGCCATGTGGCCTTATTGGATACTCTTTTAACTTTAGCTTCTTATTGTACCTTTTTTAAGCCGAAAATTTTAACATTTCCTCCAAAAGCAAAACTGTGCCAAATACACATGTGCTTTTAAAATTATATGTATGTTTGTATGTCTCAAACTATTCCTCCCTTTCAGTATTGCATCCAAAATTTGAGTTTCACCTCCTAACCAAAGTTATTATTTTATCCAAAGTAAAGCTAGTGACAATGTTTGCATTTTTTCTTCTTCTTCCCCACACTCTCAGATACTATTCAGGCAGGTCCCTAAGGCTGCAGTCCTTACTTGTGAGTAACCAAGAGGAATGCACTTCTATGCAGACATGCACAGGATGGCACTGTGAATCTTCCTTGCACTCACGACTCAGCCTTTCAACCTGCATTTCATGGCAGACTGCACCAGGCTGTCTTGTAAATGACCTTCATTAGTTTACTACTTGTTTCTTCAAACTGTGTCAAAACCCATCTGCGTCATTTGTCCCCCTCAAAGAAGGATAGAATGCTTTCTGCTTCAACTGCAGTCTCCTGCACCCCAGCAGCCTAACTTCCTGTTAGCTGTTCTTTACAACAGTGAAGATGCCAGAGTATGCTAAAGTGAATTTAGAGGGCATGTCCATTAATGCTAGCCTTTTTCTAGCAGGCCAGTATTCATCACTGAAGACTCCCTAGAAAAAGTGCCCACAATTTATTGACCATTCTGAACAACAACTGTACCTGGAAGGAATATGCTTTGAGGTCTGCAAGCATTATAGCCTAGATCAGCAGGACTTTCTTCCCTTCTTGTATAAGGATGACTCAGGAAGAAAAGCAACACAGGCATCTGTGCTGTCACATTGCAAAAGGGGTTGTCTTGTACCTGAGGTGTAGCCTGTTTGATATTCCATCAGCCTAGGACGGTTTTTATAGAATCCAACTGAATCTTCAGTACAGTATAGGATTGTGTCCTTAAGAAAATGCAAATCATAAGTATTAGGGCAATAATGGTAGAAATCAATTATGGAACAGTTTTTAGAAAAAGTTTTCAGTACTGAATTACTGTACAGACTTCAATTTATGGCAAATTCTGCTCTCTTCCATTTTCAAGAGAGACTAATGTTTCCTCTAAGCTACACATGTGAGCAGCTCTGAATTAAGACTACACAGCTGAGCCAGTTTGCTGCTTATTTCCTTCCCGTTGCAAACAGGAGCCATCATGCATGGGGCAGGGCCTCTGCCTAGCACTCTGGAAAATTAGAGGGAATGTTGTTTAGCAATTTCAATAATTTTCCAACGGTGCATCACGGCCTCTCCCAATTTGAAGAGACCCTTGCCCAGCAGGCTGAGGCAAAGAGGCAGTCATGAAAGCAGCAAAATCAGGGAGCTAGACGGGGTACATATTGTATTTGTCCTAAGTGTGGAAGGGATTGTCACTCTCGAATTGGCCTCCTCAGCCACACTAGACGCTGTTCCAAGTCCTCCATACAGAGCACGATACCATAGTCTCTCGAGACTGAAGGAAGCCTATGATGATGATGATTTTTATTCTAAAACAACTTTGGATCTCTCGGCCTTAAGTACCTTCCTGGCTTCACTTCTGTTTTCCTAACATTCGTTTTTTGTTTGTTTGTTTTTAATACCCTTTATATCAAGGACTAAGTACATTAATCTGAATAAATACTAAATAAACTAACAGAGAAGAATGTGGAAGACATTACGACTTTTGGGAGGCAGTACTGTGGCATACCAGTCTCTACATGCCAAAACTGTACATGTTGGCCCCCACCCCATTCAATGTAACCCCCGGAATCCAGCAAGTTGTTACAAAAATGAATATGGCCTAGAGTAATGTATGTTACCACAAACTGAGCTATTCCGTTGTGGCTTTTATGATTTCTGATCTGGGTTTGTTTGTTTTTTAATGCTCTCTTGTTTAGGTTAATCATTTATATATAACCAAGAATAGTGACCAGAGACAATAGGTACTGTGATTCCTCCAGATGTTCTTAGACTGCAACTCCCAGAAGCCTTCACCACCACCTCTGCTGGCCAGGATTTCTGGGAGTTGAAGTCCAAGAACATCTGGAGGCCCAAGGTTGGGGACCACTGGCCTAGAGTAATGTATGTTACCACAAACTGAGCTATTCCGTTGTGGCTTTTATGATTTCTGATCTGGGTTTGTTTGTTTTTTAATGCTCTCTTGTTTAGGTTAATCATTTATATATAACCAAGAATAGTGACCAGAGACAATAGGTACTGTGATTTTAAAAAAGGGGTGCGCATGGATTTCTTCAACATTTACTGGTAACTGCCAAGCTAATGTTGACTGATTTCATCTCTTGGTTTCTTGAGTGGGTTAGAATAGTTTTTGGAGTCAAGCAAATAAACACACAGAAAACCAGATCTTCATTTCACAGTGCAGTTTTGTGCACGTCAACTGAGAGGCCAGTCTCAATGAGTTCAGAAGGCCTTCCTTACAGGTAAGTGCGTATAGGACTTCAGCCTTTTTTTTTTCTTTTTAAGTTCAGGCTCAGTGACAATATTCTTCATTCTACATTGGATACCTCTGGATTTCTATACATCTGCTCTGCTGTATACACTGTACAAATGTTGCAGTACCCTTTAGGTGTAATCACAATCCCTAATCAGATGAGTAGCTATATCCTTCCCCCAATAAGCAAGCATTTGTGGTGTTTTTTTTGGGGGGGTAGAGAGGGGGAAGAATCCCTTTTCCCCCAACTGTCAATATAAGAGTGTTTCAACAAATGGTAACTAATGTTTTGTGTTACTTTGATAGAGTACCACTGCCACTGATTTTTAAAAGAAAAATGATTAAGCCATTCATTTGTTTTAAAAATAAATGATTATTTCTAGAATAGTTAGTTTAGATTGGAACTTCTGCAAGAAAGGAAAACTATTTTGGTTTGCATTAGATTTTGCTTATTTTATTTTGTAACTGCTATTACCTTAATATATAGATGATTCGTACTGGTTTAAAAGGAGACTATACTGTTTTTACAATTTAAATGGCAGAGTAACTCCAAATTATATTGGAATTGAAAAATAATCCAACGGCAAACACAGTTCAAATCATTACTGGAGAATTACAGTGCATCTGAAGGGCCACAGAGTCCTCTCCTTTAAGCCAAATCTGCTACATGGCAGTTGGAAAGAAGTAAAGTCGTGGCTGTTCCTACTGGAATTATTAAACTATGGGAAAAACAAAGTACCCCCTTAAGGACGACGTCTGGCCTTCCAGATGTTGGTGAATTCCATTCTTTACAGCATCTGGAGGGCTGCATTTTGCCCACCACTCCCATCAGGATGTAACTCAGTGATACTCTGCTGCCTGGTGTGAGTGAAGATAAAGGTGCCAAATGTGCAGAAATCCAATGTCAGGATGTTTATTTGGTGCTTTGGGACAGCCAACACTACTTGTAATACACAGGGATAAATGGACCAATGTAGCATGGCCTACTAGGTTCTTGATAATGTCCCTGTATTCATAGTCCAAGGGAAGGAGGCTACTTGATACAAATTATTCAGGCCTGAGTGATTACTGTTATAGCATGATATCACTTACAGAAAAAGCAGCCAGAAATGAGAATTGCTATGATCTAAAGCCCATGTTGTAGTCTTTTAATAATCTGATTTCAGACTGTTTTCCAAGGATACAAACTGATTTATTCATTTAAAAGTACGTAAATCCCACATATGGTACTAAACCAACTCAGCATCTTCTTTCTTTCAAGCCGTAAGTTTTGGATGCTGCTGCTATTTATTTAATTAGGCTGACAAAAAGAAAGAGATGGTTTATTACTAAAAATACACTCAAGAGTCATGCCATGAGGAAATGTGAAGTACATGCATTCACAAGTATGAAGGATGAGAATTCTGACCTCAAATGAACACCAAAGGAAAATGATATATTGATATCTATATGTGTCTAGCCTATTAAAACATTCTGTACAGCTAGAATGTATTTAGGAATAACCAGGTATTTATTTTTGTGATGTGGTCATGCTTAAATTGCTGTTGAAGAAAGTGATTAGAGAATCTCAGGTTTTAACCACACAATTGCTTGATCTAGGATGGGAAGGCTGTGCTAGTGTAGTCATTTGCTGCAGGGACGTCCCACTCTTCAGTGCAACTAGGAAAGCAACCCAGCGCTATTTTAATTTCAAGTGATGTTCACATGAAAACTAATGAGAAGGGACAAAGTTAAACCTTGGCAGGTATGTCAGTGTGCAAATGCATTTAGAGGTAAAGTAGGACTGCTGTTGCCACAGGATCAGTGCCCACAGTTTCAGTTATCCATTGCCTGAAAATATTATATTAAATATGTACAGTATGCATTTCCAGAAAAATGCGTTTACAAGGTGTATTACCACAGCTGGCCACTAGAGGTAACTCTATACAGTAGTATAGGGTTTGTCAATCTGGGTTTTGGCATCCATGAGAGGAGGCTTGGAACAAGTCCCTGCAGCTATCGTAGTCCTACTCTACTGTCAAACATTTAACTCAAGCTTCTCAAATCATATAGAAAAAAATGTTTTTTTTAATTCTGAACTCCTTGCCTATGAAGGTATCATGGATATGTTTCACATGTAGCAGTACAAGCCCTAGAGGGTGATTCCATGGCTGTATTTAAATGTCGATGTGATATCACATGTATGTATGTGTCTTATTCAGTACCATTAATAGGGAGGGGCAAGATGGAGGGACATCTGCATCAGCCATAGTCTTCACAAGAGGAAAAACGGTTCTCAGCAACCATGTACTATTAGAATAATTTAAAAGGTAATGTTTTTTCTTTGGTTGGGAAATGATCAAAAACAGTCAAATATTAACTCAGTCGGTGTGGTTTGGCAGCCAGAATAGTACACTTGCAGATTCTTTTTTAAGGAAGCGCAGTTAGCCCTTCTACAGTATATTGGTTAGTAGTGTTGCAAGGAGAAAAGAAGGTGTAACAGAAAACTGGGTAGCAAGCAGTCAATGTGAGGTTCATACATCAGGGTTTGAATTCCTTTAGAATAATGCCGTGAGCAGCAGAAGCAGTCAATCTGAGCAGTGAAAATCTGGAATTCTGAGATTCAAAGCCATTCTCATTGCAGATTTTGCTAGTCACTTTCTATTTCCAGTGTAAGTTTTATGCATCTGCTATCAATTTCCTGTTGAAGGTATAAAGTACAAATGGTAAGATATTTTTAAATCTATGAGGTTGTAGAGCCTAGGGAGCAGAGAGCATAAAATAACTGGAAGTGTGCATTTGGATCAGAAATCACTAGTTACAGCATTGGTCTTATATTAGTGGGAGTTTAGCTTGTTTTAATCCTTTCAGATGTCCTACCTAGCTTTCATATCCAAATTTTCTAACATGTGCCATTTGTGTGGATATGATCCTTCTGTAATTCATTGGACATTATCTTGAACTTCATTCTGAGTGGTAAGTTGAGAAGGATAATTTTGCCTATATAACACTTTCACTGCTTCTGTTTTTGTATGAAGTTCTGATTTATTCTTCTGGCTTTTGATCTTTACTATATTTTGTATATGTCTGAAACTGTTTTTGGATGAAACTATATTCCTCCCAATTGTAATCTTTGTAATATATGATCAGCATCCAAGATATTTTAGTGTCCCTAGCAGTAGTTTCAAGGACTCGTGTGTGCAAACAAGTCATAAAAGTTCTATTCAGGGATTACATACAATACCTTTCTTACACAGAAAACAATTTTTGTAATTCTGTATGTTGTAGAATTGACTCAATTATATTTATAAAACTGTTGTGTGTTTTTTTCCAGCTGTGTGATGATTAACTGTCAGTTACCTTGCTCTGTATGAAAGATGGGCTGGGTTTCTTTTATATATGAACTTAATAGGATTTTACAGTTTCTGGAAGCAAGAGATGTATATTTGGTTTCATATATAACATATACTCTGAATATTTTGATGTGAGCAATCTCTCTTTTTTATGTGAGAGGCAAAATAAGAGAGAGCACAAGTAAAGATGCAGATCTTTTGATTATTCACTCCTGCATTGTTCATCTTTGATGATAGTATTTTGTCTGAGCCACCACTGAAACTGTAGAAAAATAAAATAAAATAGAAGAGGGGCTATATTACAGCAAGGTCTTGTCCCATGCTGCCTGGTAGCACACCCCTGAGATCTCAAGCTCTTCTTAGGCTTCCTAATGCGAGACATTAATGGAGGGATGGCATGACTTGCTTAGGCCTTGTATTTCCAAAGCACATGACCCCATCCAAAGAGGCATGCATATTACCAGTCTGGGAATATTTCCTCTCTTGTTAGTCAGACTGTTGAGAATGAGAAATGTAAATGAAATAAAGTTCTTAATCAGATGAATGCATCTAGTTATTTAAAAACTGAAAGTTTAAAAAATAACTTCATTGGCCTTTAGCCCTTAATCTGATTTGTACAAGTCTTACAAAAATACAGTACAGTACATACATAACACTGTTATGTATTTTCCACTACCAAATATACCGCAGGCCTGAGAGGTGTACAGTACTTGGTATGCATGCCCTACTACATGTTTAAAACTGAAGCCTTGGTTTCTTTTGCGTGAATCGCCGTATCTTTAATATTGTCTTTATTTATGAAGCCCCAATTGATGATGCCCTAAGCAGAGCACAGTGAGGGCAAACAAGTACAGTACTGTATTCCCACCTTTGCGGGTGAAATGGTCCCACTCGAGAGCCTGTCGACGCAGGAGCTACAAAATACTGTACTAAGATTATTCTCCCAACGCCCTTCCCATGCATTCGGTGCGCATACAGTCCTGTCACGGGACCTAGACCTGCCGCAATGTCCTGCTTTGCCCGGGCCAGGGGAGAACCTCCTAAATTGCGCTTCTCCTCCGGACCACCGAAAACATAATCACCAGCCGCGCCGTCTGAGCAAACATCAAAAACGGATCCTCAGAAAGGCCATTAGGGGGCGCGCTAACGTTACCGCCCACCGCGTTTACCGGCACAGCAGCGCCCGAGTTCTAAAGCGGAGTCTTCCGAGCGCACGCGCGCTCCCTTCCGTGCATCACTTCCCAGCGCATGCGTGGTTGCCGCCGGCCGCTGTTTCGCCCGGGTGGTTTTTATCCGGCGCCAGGAGGGGAGCCCTCGAAGGGCCTTTTTTTTGTCGTCTTCTCCTCTCTCCGCCGTTTGGGACCACCATGGTGCTGGACTTGGACCTCTTCCGCGCCGACAAGGGCGGCAACCCGGAGCTGGTGCGAGAGACGCAGCTCAAGCGCTTCAAGGACCCCAGGCTGGTGGACGCGCTGGTGGCCGCCGACGGGGCCTGGCGGAGATGTAGGTGCCGGGCGGAGGGGAGAGGTGTTGGCGGCGTTGGCACCGAGGGAGGGGACAAGATTTCCCGCCTCGCCCCGGTAGTCAGTCAGTCAGCGGGGCGGCCCCCACCGGGGGGACTGAGATTTGAGTTTTGGGGTGGTGGTGGTCCGGTCGCTTCTCCCGCCTCTTTCGGGTCTGCCCGCGTGTCCTTCCCTTGGGGAGCCGTTCACACGCCTCGCCTCTCCCTCTGAACGCCCTCGACGCCCACCTCGGTTCGGGCCCCGAGAAAGAGGGAATCCCGGGGACCCTTTCTGGGAAAGGATGGCCGGCCTCCCCTGAGAGCAGCCGGGCGGGCGGTGGACTTGACTCGAAAGGAGGGAGGAGGTGCCGCGATGGCCGCCAACGTGGATGCGCCGCGAGAGGGAATCGGGCAGATCCGGGGGGAGAGGCAGGTGTCGGGCTGTCAGAGGTGAGGGGCTAGAGGTGGTGGCGGGCCCAGGGTCGGAGGCAGCGGGCCTGTGGGAAAGCCGTGGGGTTGGGGGCACCACATCCTGGTCATGAGCTGCCCCGGTGCATCGGGATTTTCCAGCAGCCCCTGTGGGGAACAGGATGCTGAAATTGACAGGGCCGTGGTCTGATCCAGCACAACAGGGCGCCGAGTAACGAGTGAGCCGCATTCCTCATCTCCACCCCTCTTTCTTAGAGGAGACTTTCCCAGTGCTTTAGAGCCGCATTGCCGTTTTACATGGTAGGCTCACGGTTTGGTAGGATAGTGTTCAGGCAGGAGTGCTGCCTAATCTGATGCAATCGTGCTGCAGCCTGTCATCATGGAAAGTGATTTCGTACGAGCTCCAGCAGTTTCATTTGCTCTCCAATAGTGCTGTCGTGTTTTTCAGAAAGGGTGTATAGAAGCTTGTATTTGGGGACATGCGTTCTGTTTAAAGGCTTTGTCACTGAATATAGGAAATCAGAATATTTTCTCTGAAATACTTTTTCTCTTAAGACCAAGTCTTTAAACTGTTTTGATTAGCTCTTGTTGATATATAAAAATGTGAGGAATGTACTTAACACTGTCTTAACTAGAATAGAATTCAGAATTAGATGGAAACTTGCAGAGTGCCCCTGTGCCCCTTGTAGCCTCTCATACCTGAATGTACAGTCTTTCATTCTAGTTAGCAAAAGCAGTGGAAGGCATCCATGACTTCTGTCTATGATAAGGAACAGAGTTGGAAAGAATCCTCAAAATGATATTTTGAGAGTTATGATCTAGAGAAAGTTAGGAACTTTAAGTTTGAAATCAATGAGTTTGCACTGTCCCATGTGTTTGGTGAAATTTTAAAGACAACCAAATTATTCTGAATTAGAACACCAAAGTGAGGATTTTTGAAGTTATGGAATGTTGATATTGATCAGAATGAAAGCAAGACAGAGGCTTGAGTGAGGTTTAAAGTAAAAAAAAATGCCCTCAGTTTAATCATTCTCTGGTGGTTCTTCCTCCGTAACTATATATTTGCACATGTAAAGCTATAGCTGTCCTGTAGATTATAAAATGCTGCACTGAAAACTAAAAGGTTCTTATTGGCTGCTGACTTTATAAGGAAGTGGTAGAAACACAGTAGGTATTCAAAAAATACACACATAATAACACCACCATTTGAGGAACTAACATAATACTTTGATTACTGGAAAAAAATAGAATGGGGAAAACGGTAGGGAAAGTGTGACAGGGGTGGTCTTGCTAATATTGTTTAGTGTTTATGTTTACTTTTCTTATTCTGTTACTAAATACTTCTTTTAAAAAAATCTTCTGTTTATACTTCTTTTAAAAAAATCTTCTGTTTAGTTGGTAAAGATTCTCAGTCATCCAGGTGAGGTTATCTGGTTATCACTTTGACTGAAGAAGCTACTTGAATGAGTAGTGAAATATTTCAGCCTAATAAGAAAGAAGTCCAGTTGCCATGACTCAACATCTAGACTGTTGAGTCCATAGTGTTTTCCGTCCGTAGTGTTTTCCAATTTAATCTAGTGGTTTTCAGCTTTTTGTTCTCCAGATTTCTAAAACATTGGCATCCTGGTTGAGGCTTATGGGAGCTGGAATTCCAAAACATCCAGAGGAACAAAAGTTGAGATCTTTTTTTAAAAAAGTTTATGTGAACACCATTAGGTATAGTAGAGTTATAACTGTGTGGAGAAGCTTTTGCTGTAATCACCTGCTAACTTTCTGTGTTTTTATTCCAGGCCGATTCCGTGCAGATAACCTGAACAAATTGAAGAATTTGTGCAGCAAAACTATAGGCGAGAAAATGAAGGTGTGAGTCATTGTAGTTACAGCTTCTGAGTGATTGTTAGTTTTATCAAAGCCATTTTGATGTATGCATTTGATGATGTATGTATTTAATTTATTAACAAATAGGGAAGATGCTAGGAAATTTGTAAAGATGTAGAAATTGATTTTTGTCATGAAAGCAACATCAGAGAAATTAATACCCAGAAAGATGTGCTGTTCATTAACTGTGGAGGAAAAGGTGATAATGAGGGCAAATATTCAGCTGTACTATTCCTTTGAACATTGAAGTAATTATAATGATGATGTGCTATCAAGTTAATTCTGACATTGCAACTTTGCAGGGTTTTCTACATAGAGCCTACTCAGAAATGGTTTACCATTCCCTTCTTCGGGGAGGTATTTGGGGATTCTGCAGCTTATCCAAGGCCACACAGGCTGGCTCTTCTCCTGCCAGGAACAATGGGGAATCAAACTATAGATTCTCCAATTCACTGCACTATCCTCTTTTAAAACAGCTATTCTCAAGTAGAATGCATTTGTTATTTTAGGACTTGCACAAACTGATTTTCCTCTCACTGAAAAATAAACATTATATAAGATAATGATTGTTGTGAGTTTTTCAGGCTGTGTTCTGAAGGTTGTCCCTAATGTTTCGCCAGTCTCTGTGGCCGGCATCTTCAGAGGACAGGAGTAGCACTCTCTGCTCTGGTGCAGTTTGTTTGGGAGTTGAGTATTTATACAGCATGCGAAAGGTCAACGAACTCTACCCAACCACAAGGACTGGTGATCACTACACACTAAAGACCATCTAATGACACCCATCAATCACAGTGACAGATAATCTCTCCTCCTTATCACAGCAATACACCCACAACAAAAATACACTGATCACCATAATCACCCATCTCCTGAAAAGGAAAAAGCTGATCCCACAGTTATACTCAACTCCCAAACAACCGGCCACAGAGACTGGTGAAACGTTACAAAGAACAACCTTCAGAACATGGCCAAAGAGCCTGAAAAACCCACAACAACCATTAGATCCCGGCCGTGAAAGCCTTCGCAAATTATATAAGAAAATTCATTTTGTCCACTCTGGTGGGACTGGATAGCCTTCAGAACTATAGAAAAGAGAGGCAAGTTTTACATGAAGAAACAAAAGACTGGACATTCTGTTTTATAATTTAATCTTTTTGAACACCACATTTAATGTTGAGTTCCCATTGTTCAGTTTTGATGGTTCAAGAATGATACCAGATTTGTTTACATCTTAGGTCAGTGGCAAAATATCACTTATTTATTGATGGAAAAAATAAGTATAATGCTCAATACAACACATACTGGAGTTTAAGAACAAGTTGCAAACTTGTTTGGAATGTTACTGTTTATGTAGAAAGGTCTCTCGGGAGGTTATGAAAAGAGAAAAAAATCAATAGCAACTATACTGTTCGCTCTTTAGATCTGCAGTCCAATTGTCAGAATATAGCTCAGTGTCTTTCAGTCTTGAGTAATTTATGGTGCAATTTTAAGGGTGTGGGCTAGAGACTGGAAGGTGAGTGAAGCACTTCATCTAAAGTCCTCCTCCTTCCTGGCACTAGGGCAAAAGTGAGGCGGGAAGGAGCTTTTGCAGTCCCTTCCCCCCCCCCAGCTGTTTTTCTTTTAAAATGAACTCTATTGGAATCAGTGGGAGGAAATTACTTTGTGTCATTTCCAAGATTGTTGTAGATCTAACACATCTTTGCATGTGTGTTCGAGGACAAGCAAGCTGTGGATCTGCCTCTTCTTTCTGCTTTAGATTTAGGGTTAAAACTGTCCACTGTACTTTCTACACGGGCTGTGATGGAATTCTGAGGTCAAATTGAGCCATGCAAGGTGCAAATCTCTCTCTGTGTCATTGGAAGAAAAATGTCAATGTACTGTATGCTAGGTTATCTTTATAGATATTGTAGGATTGCATCTTCAGTTTTTGTAAATTCTAAAGAGAAAGACACTGTGTTTTTACCCATATATTTTAAAGCATTTTGCGGTTAGAAATTTATGTTAGAATTTTTATTTTTGCATTAGTTTGGGACAGTTGTTCACAGATTTCAGGGCAAGCATGTCATGCAAGCTCTAATACTTGTAGGTCATTTTATTGTTTCACCTTTTTCTTTATTGATTGTTCATTAGATTCTTGCTTGCTTTTTGCATATCACTATTAACAGAAAAAAGAGCTAGTGGGCAATGATGATTCCATACCAGAAATTGCACAAAATCTTGATGAACTCACAGGAGACATCTTAGCAGTAAGTCATGTTCCATTAATTTCTTGCTTATTCACTAGATTCCATTGTATTATATTTGTGAAAGGTGTACTGTGGTATTTAATTCCCCCCCGCCCCCATTCATTTGTATGTTTTTATGGCTGAAGATGTACATGTGGAAGTAGGAAATACATTAATGGCTTTCTGTTCCTGTTGTGCCCTTAGGTTGTTTTAACTTTTCCTCTTGTCTTTTGTATTTTAAGGTCTTAGTTGTGATCATTCTTTTTTTGTACGGCTTGATTAATTATTTTTAATGTATGTTTTCATTCACTTGTTTAGTGCCCTGAGCTGAAATTCACTAGTGAGAATGGCAATGTACACTTTGTGGACATTGGTCTCCAAGCCAAAAAATGTGGTCACCTGTCAATCTCCTTTGTTTGTGGCCAAACAAGGTTCCTTGTCTATCCCAGGGTAAAGGAGGTTACCCATGGTAGTTGCACATTTGGTGAAGTGCTTTGGGCAACATGGCTGAACGGCAATCAAAGAAGGCCCTTGTCACCTTTTCCTGTGGGAAAAATTGTGGGATTCACTTATAAGCTGCTGCTCCCTTCGAGTTCTTGGTACTTTGATTGAGGGAGACTCCTAGGCTCACTTTCCTGTTTTGCAACTAGAGTGGTTGTGTTGAGTAGGGGAGAAAGCAGCCATCCCAGTCACAGCCATGAAGCTGGAGGAAAAGTAGAATTTGCCAAAGAAAACATGGGATTCCACCCAGCTTTGCAACTCTAGTCTATGCTCATATCATAGTGAAGGCTCAGTTGCCATGGAGAGTGTGACAAACACAAGTATAGAAACCTATCCTAAGATCATCCTATTTTCTGAAAATAAGTGCTAAACGAAATGCTGGGTGACCTGAAACTGAATATCCTCCTGCATTTCTGAGGTCAAAGGAATCTGGAGATGTTGACGTATTTGGTATGGGGAAACACCACTAAGGTGATAGTTTAATTGCCCTTCACCTCACAATTTCCTGGTTGAAACTAACTTTCCCAGCTCTTCTGTGCCATCCAAGAAAAAAAAAGACAGGTGCTTCTACGGATCCCCCCCACAAAAAACAAAAACAAATAAAATCTTGAGAAATTCATATAGATCAGACAAATAATGGAAATTGAAAATACAGTATTAAAATCTGTACTATCAAAACTATTTCCATATCTGTTTTGTGTTTTTTTGTACTAAATGTGATTCTTCTAAATGCTGTCAGCTTCATTCTGCTGAACTATAATGCTATGTTCAGGATGATATTTACATTGATTGGTCACAGAAGTCCAGAAAGGGTCTTTGTAGGCTCTTGAATTGGAAAAGATCAGTCTACATCCCAATCCCAAAGAAAGGCAGTGCCAAAGAATGCTCCAACTACCATACAATTGCACTCATTTCACATGCTAGCAAGGTTATGCTCAAAATCCTCCAAGGTAGGCTTCAGCAGTATGTGGACTGAGAACGCCCAGAAATACAAACTGGATTTCGAAGGGGCAGAGGAACTAGAGAACAAATTGCTGGATTATGAAGAAAGCCAGAGAATTCCAGAAGAACATCTACTTCTGCTTCATTGACTACACAAAATCCTTTGACTCTGTGGATTTGAAGGCCAGGTGGATGGAGTACACTGTCTCCTCCCGACAGTAACGATATGGTGATCAAAGAAAGGGAGAGGGATGTGTTAAAACAGAAGGCTGGCAAAGAAAGAGTTAAAATAGAAGTTTGACGGAAGAAGGGAAGGGAAAGGAGGAGGAGCAAGTGATTGATGTGTGGGAGGAGGATATAAAAGTAGGTATAGGTGTGCTGGATTTTTGGATTTCGACAAGCAAGAAGGAGAGAGGAAAAGAAATGGGACCAAGTGAGTGAACTATTAAAAGACTTTCCCAATCTGAAAGTGGGGGATCTACTGCCGGACCCAGTACCGGAAAGAGTGGGAGTAACCATTACTGAAACATCAGAATGGACAGTAGTGGTCTTTCCAAGGGGAAAGGGTCCCTTGAAGAAGTTGGTGCGCCCTGATCCCACCTACAACAAGCCACCACTGAAGGGGGATTGGGCTCGCCACCCCTGTTGTGGCACCATGTGCTTGGTGAGGAGCACCCTACTACGGAAACCAACGGACAAGGAACGCTTTGGTCTGGCACCCCAGTATTGAGGAAAGATAGTTCTGCAAAATTCGGGACTCAGTTGTATGAGTGAGATCATGTTTACCCTACAGAAGTTATTATTGATACTCCTTTGTTGAATAAGAATAAATCTATTAATGTTTTCAATGAATCTCCTGTTTTGATTTCTGCGCCACATTCGGGACTGCCTAAGACTTTACAAGAACCTTTTGACAGTGGACCACAACAAACTTTGGCAAGTTCTTAAAGAAATGGGAGTGCCTCACCATCTTATCTATCTCCTGAGAAACCTATATGTGGGACAGGAAGCAACAGTTAGAACTGGATATGGAATAACTTATTGGTTCAAAATTGGGAAAGGAGTATGACAAGGCTGTATATTGTCTCCCTGCTTATTTAACTTATGTACAGAATATATCATGTGAAAGGCAGGACTGGAGGCATCCCAAGACAGAATTGAGATTACCGGAAGAAATATCAATATGCAGATGATACCACTCTGATGGCAGGAAGTGAGGAGGAGTTAAAGCACCTCTTAATGAGGGTGAATGAGGAGTGCACAAAAAATGGTCTGAAGCTCAACATCAATAAAACTAAGATCATGGCCACTGGTCCTGTCGCCTCCTGGCAAATAGAAGATATGGAGGCAGTGACAGATTTTACCTTCTTGGGAGGAAACCGATGACAAACCTAGACAGCATCTTAAAAAGCAGAGACATCACCTTGCCGACAAAGGTCCACATAGTTAGAGCTATGTTTTTTCCTGTCACGATGTATGGAAGTGAGAGATGGACCATAAAGAAGGCTGACCGCTGAAGAATTGATGATTTTGAATTGTGGTGCTGGAGGAGATTCTTGGACTGCAAAGAGAACAGACCCATCCATTTTGAAGGAAATCAACCTTGAGTGCTCACTGGATAGATCCTGAAACTGAGGCTCCAATACTTTGGCTATCTCATGAGAAGAGAAGATTCCCCAGAAAAGACTCTGATGTTGAGAAAGTGTGAAGGCAATAGGAGAAGGGGACGTCAAAGGACAAGATAGTTGGACAGTCATCAAAGCTACCAGCATGAATTTGACCCAACTCCAGGAGGCAGTGGAAGACAGGAGGGCCTGGCATGCTTTGGTCCATGCGGTCACGAAGAGTCGGAAATGACTTAACGACTAAACAGCAACAACAACAACAAAGGCTCTTGAAAAAAGCTCCAAAATTGCTGTGTTAAAATCGTGGATTAAAGGCATAGAGAATTAAACATTGGTTTGTGGCCCCTTTATTTATTTGTTTGTTTTATTTAATTAATTTATTTATATGCCGCTCACACTACCCAAAGGTCTCCGGACGGCTTACATCTCTGGAACGCCGTTTTACCTTCCCACCGAGGTGGTACCTATTTATCTACTCGGATTTGCATGCTTTCAAACTGCTAGGTGAGCAAGGAGCTGGGACAAAGCGATGGGAGCTCACTCCGTTGCGTGGATTTGATCTTATGGCTGCTGGTCTTCTGACCTTGCAGCACAGGCTTCTGTGGTTTAGCCCACAAATTATGCGGTTCATGTGTGTTATGTGATTTAGGCTATCTCCACTTGATGAGACAACTAAGTGAATTTTTCTAGCCCTACAAAATTCCTTTTTTTTTCTGTACAAAAGCAAGACAAGGAGTGCTTTATCAAGATGTCAACACACACCACCTTGAGTTGATAAGTTGAAAGTTGGGATATAAGTGCAACAGTTCTTTTTTGCAAAAAGGAAGTTTGGGTACCCTCAAGTTACCATCAAACACAAGTCATGCTTACTGTTCCAGCCTTGTTGGGCTTGCTATTGTCCTAGCAACAGCTGCTGCTCTGAGACTAGAATAAGATAACACAGAGTTTCAGCAAGAGGCATGGCTTCTTCTATTGTCCGTGCAGCTGCAGAAGAAAATCAGCACAGCTCCCCAGCACAAGCTTCTGTCCAGGCACCAGCTGGTGGGCATATGGCTCTTTCCACTTTGGTAACATCCAAGGTCCCAGGATTTGTCTTACAGTATACTGCCTTGCAGCTGCTAGTTTGGGTCACTATTCAAGATATAAATCAGAATCGTTAGTTTTTATGTACACTATATTTTCATCTGAATTGTAAAATCGAGAAACTCTGATTTATTATTACATTACATGTTCTGGTGGCAGGCCAAGATATTCCTTTTTTGTGGAAATGTGTATTAGCTTGAATATCCTGGTTTGCTGATCTTTTTGTGATTTTGGAATTTTGGTTCTGATATTGTTTGTAAAGTCATTTTATTTTGATGATTTTATTATGTGTTTGAATTCGAAGCTGCCATAAGAGTTAGAAGATGTGGATTAAAATAGTCAAATAATGTGTAATACTGCTTGTTTCTTTGCCCATAGTTAGACATGAATGATTTTTAAAAAGTGAAATAGCTGATAGGAGTCTTTGGGTGCCAGAGCAAAGAGCTCTTTTTAAGAACAGACCCACAATGTTACCATCTGCTCACATGAGGGATGTATTAGCAGCCTCAGAGGAATCTGTATGTTTAAAAGAAACGTAAATAAATGTAATACATAAACACGTGTCAAAATATTGCATGGGGCATAAAAAGCCTAACTGGAGTAGGATGGGTGAGAACCAAAAATAGCCTAGCATGGTCTGATCATGCCATGAGCACAGAATGCTAACTGGACTGTTGTGGTGGGATAAGGAAAAAGAAAACAAAGACGTGAGGGATTAGATTTGAGTATCCTAGGAGAATTTGGCTGGGAACCTGAGTGTGGGCATTCCATGTATCAACGTTCTGTTGTAAATCTTACCTTTTTTTTAATGTAAAACTGCTTAGTGCAAAACGGTCTTTTGAAAGCATAAGAACTGGAGAACAGCTTAAAGGATTCTTGCAGAGCTGTGCTTCTAACTTTAGAAAACATTTTGAACTAGAAGCTTCACAACTGCTGATTGTTTTGTTCTGGGTTCTTTGATTAAGGTTCCTCTAATTTATTTACTGGTTGTGTCCACTTATTGCCATGAAAGGTGGCAAAACTTCAGGCCTTTGCCTGAGCCTATGTTGGTGACAGACCAGGTGCTGCTCTTTTCCAGAGCACCACAATGCTGATTTATACCTGAGAATCAACTGTCTGCTGAAAGTTGAAATAAAGTTCTAATTTTCCTTTATTCCTTTTTATCTGCTTTGATTGTAATTATTTTTTACGTTTATGCACATTTTGTATTTTAATTGTATTTTATTCTTATTATATACTGGAAGCCGCCTAGAGTGGTCTTATAGTCCAGATAGGCGGGATATAAATCAAATTAATAATAATAATAATATCCTTGAAGACACCAAGACCAAAATCGAGGAACTTCCCTTTGATGCGGTGGGGCTGTTCAACTCTAAAAGGTTTTATGGTCTGTAAATGAATGATTACTGAAAATGTGTTTCTGACTTTTTGTAAGATGTCATCTTTCTCTTATTTTTCATATAATAATGTCCTTTGTCTTTCAGAGTCTTCAGGTAAGCCAAATAAAGAAAGTCCGTCTTCTGATTGATGAAGCAATAGTTAAGTGTGATGAAGAACGGTTGAAACTAGAGGCAGAAAGATTTGAGAACCTAAGAGAAATTGGAAATCTCCTTCATCCTTCTGTACCAATAAGCAATGATGAGGTAGGAGCAAACTCTACATCTTTTATGTAAGTGTGCATGTATTGCTCTATGTGATCTGCTTCTAGCAGCCTTGTGAGTCTATATTAAAATGCTCTGCTGTCAGAAACATAGGAAGGGAGAAGGTGTCCCTAAAAGTTACATGTGGCAGAATGCCATTGCTGATTTTTCCTTGTGTTAGTGAAATTATATTAAATGATGGCAGCCAATTGCATGTCTGATCAGATGAGTGCACTGGAATGCAATCAGCAGCCTGTTAAGAAACAAGAAACCAATCTGCTTTCTATTGGGTTGTTCAGTAATGCTGCAGAGTGAACCATTTTCTTTTCTTTTTCCCCCCTATTCATGTAGGATGCAGATAATAAAGTGGAGAGGTTATGGGGAGACTGTACGGTGAGGAAGAAGTATTCTCACGTAGACTTGGTTGTCATGGTGGACGGATATGAAGGAGAAAAAGGAGCAATTGTAGCTGGAAGCAGGGGTTACTTTCTTAAGGTGAGAGCCCAGAATTGTATTGTTGTCTTCTGTGGGACACGGAAGGAGAAAATATATTGCAGGAATCACCGTAAGCTTTGTGTGAAGTAGGGATCGGAGCTTATCTCAGAGAAGAGTGTTCCTGCCAGTAGTTCTCAAATTACAAGAAAACTGTGGGACTTTGCCAAATTTAGGATGTTGGTTGATCTGTCTTTTCTCTGCCTCCTTTTTTCTTTTGTTCTGTAGGGTCCCCTGGTTTTTCTAGAGCAAGCTCTTATACAGTATGCCTTGCAGACACTACTCAGCAAAGGATACACCCCTGTTTATACCCCCTTCTTCATGAGGAAAGAAGTGATGCAAGAAGTGGCCCAGCTAAGTCAGTTTGATGAAGAGCTCTATAAGGTAAAACCTCAGGGGGGAAGTTAACTCTTTTAGCAGAACATGATATTGGCTTGTTGCTTATCTTGATGTACAATCAGGATGTTCACAGAGTTCTGTGGGGTTCTGATATTCTGGAAAATCTTTAACAGAACAATTAGCTGTATACCTCTTCAGGTTCAACCTTCAACACTTGTTCCTGCAAAACAGCTACTTTTAATATTAGTTTAATGATTCTAATATTTTATATGAGAAGGACTGCCTAGCTGGTAGAAAAAAGGACTCTGCATTATTCCTCACGAGTGGTATCATGTTATGTCTCTTTCATTCTCTGCTCCCAGGAAGTCCTTTGGCTCTGTAGGGAGTTTATCACAAGGGCTAGGTGTGGTTAGACTCAATATGGAATGATTAGTGATGTAGTTAAGCAAACTGTTAGTACATGCTTTGGAACCTCATTCTCCAGAAGGACTCACCAAAGCTTGGTCTATGAACACTATTGCTTTCTAGAGCTTAAGTGTGGGAGTTATTTATTTATTTGCTTTTTCACATGTCTACTTTTCATTTCTCTCCCAATATGGCATTCAAGGTGGCTAACAATAAAATGAATAAAACAAGTATACACTGAAAACAATCAGTTAAAAGGAGGGGAATGTGCCTGTCTGAAGGCCACCTGTAACATCAGTCCAGCTACTTGTCAAAGCTTTGCAGAATTAAACGGCTTTGCTTGCTAGTGGAAAAGCAACAGGAAATAGCCAGCCTCACCTCTCTGGGAAGGAGCTTCTGCATCTTCAGGGGAGCAGCTGGAAGGGACTGCCACATGCTGAGAATTTTTCTGCCCTCACCGACGATGTCTGCAAGAGTTGTGGGAGACACTAATTTTGCAAACGTTTCATATAACTTCCCTTTGTAGCCTGTCAGTTGATCTCCTTTTGGGTGGAAGTAGAGATTTAACATACAGAACAAAGTATGCTGCTGAGAGGTACATTAAGAGAGGTGACACACTGAAGGATAGATGCAGAGATTTGCACAGAAATGGTGCAGGTATATATATAAGCACAGTTTCTAGATGTGCCCAAATCCTGACAGTAGTTCTCCAGTAATATTGCCTTGAATGTGTTTTCTTCTTAATGAAAACTATTAGTTCACATACCCAACAATGTCACGACAATGTCTTGCTTTTTTCTGTTATGAGATACTAATTTCTGTTGCTTCTTAGGTGCTTGGCAAAGGCAGTGAGAAGACTGATGACAACACAGTTGATGAGAAATATCTGATTGCTACATCTGAACAGCCAATTGCAGCTTTGCACAGAGACGAGTGGTTGAAGCCAGAAGATCTGCCCATCAAATATGCTGGTCTGTCTACGTGCTTCCGCCAGGAAGTTGGTTCACATGGCCGGGACACCAGAGGCATTTTCAGGGTGCACCAGTTTGAAAAGGTGGCAGAAACTGTTAATTAACTAAAAATGATATTTTTTCCTGTACAGTATGTGCTAGGGAACAGGGGCTACACTTACTCTTCCCCTGCATGGTTGTCCATTGCAGTGTTGCTCCAGAAGAAAATGACACACAGTGCTTGAAGCAGATAGCCCCAACATTGTTCCAAAAGAGCTGACTTTGAGGTGTGAGGTTGTGGCAAGTGATCTCAAGATGCAGATTTCCACAGCAAGCATATTCTGAAATCAGTTAAGCTTTGTTAGTGTTGAAGCTAATTACAGATATTTTAAAAGTGAGGGTTAAAATAGTTTTTTAATCAGAATATTAATATAACTTTCCAATACCGTGTTATCTCTTTCTGTTTCCAGTACTCTGAATTTGTTTCTACCTTGCTTGAAATTTTCTAGATCGAGCAGTTTGTCTATGCATCACCTCATGATAACAAGTCTTGGGAGATGTTTGATGAGATGATTGCAGTTGCTGAAGAATTCTATCAGTCTCTGGGGATCCCTTACCACATTGTGAATATTGTCTCAGGTACATATGCATTCACAAACCATAAAGATCCCCATCTTATGTTTGTTCTGTGAAAACAGACAGAGCAGTCTGAAATGGGAGAGAAGCAGGATTACAGATTGGTTGCTATATCCTGTTTTCCCTGCTCACACTGGCCAGGATAAATGGTATGAGCCAGGAGGGGTGTATATTTGTTGTTAGCCAATATTCAGGTTTGCATAGCTGATGGGCCCATATTGCTTCTGTTATGGAGGAAAACACCTGGTTTAGGACCTCTTGGGGCCAAAATTTATTTATTTATTTGATTTATACCCCGCCTATCTGAACCAATGGACCACTCTAGGCGGCTAACTGTTTCAATTTGCAGAATGCCCCTTTGGGCAGCTTTTTCCCGACTTATGCCAGCAGGAGAACTGCCAGTTATAGTTTACCATCTACACATTGAGGGGGCCCACAGCAAATCCACTTCTCTGCAATATTTCACAGGCTGAGGGGTACCAGTGTACCATCTGCAGATTAAGTCATAAGTCTCTGAGGTGTACTTGCTGATAATTATGCCCACCCTTGTAGCTTTAAACTTTTGTGTTTTTTAATCAGAAGTATTTGCTCTATGATCATATGACTTGTAACTCTGAAATATATAGTTATATATCAGTGATTAACTCTCAAACCAATTAATTCAGAAAAGCAAGCATAGATCTCCTTGCTTTCATTCTATCCTGAAAAATAGTGCGATCTTTTGATTCCCCTTTTTTTCTCCATTGCCTGAATGCTGCCTCTTGGTTTTTCAGGCTCCTTGAACCATGCTGCCAGTAAAAAGTTGGATCTGGAGGCCTGGTTTCCAGGTTCAGGAGCTTTCCGTGAACTTGTTTCTTGCTCAAATTGCACTGACTATCAGGCACGCCGGCTACGGATCCGCTATGGGCAAACCAAGAAGATGATGGACAAAGTAGGTTGAATTACATGTTTTGGCTGTAACATGATCCAATAAAGACTAGAACCTTGGATTCTAGTCCATACTTTCTCTTTGGTTCTCTTAAGAAATGCTACTACTTGCATACTGTAACTTTTAAGGAAATATCTGTATTTAACAATGATATATTCCTTTTTAATGCTGCATTTGTGATAGCTGGTGGATTTCCAAACGTATTTTCCATTTGAGAACACTCTGCAGTAATTACGTTTTTTAATTCGTTGAGATGACTGGAAGCCTCAGGGTTACTAATTGGAAAATAGTTTAAAAATTAGTCCCTCAGAATTATGTAGAAATTGAGAAGAAACTTTAGATGCTACTTATCCATTTCTGCATTCTTAAGACTTGGGGTTTCCAGATGTTGTTGAACCACAATTCCCATCATCATTAACCAGCACAGGTAATAGTGAATGATGCTGGGCAGTGCAGGCACACCACAACAGGAGTGTAACAAATTGTTCATTGTTCACTGTTTTAGATCACTTATCTCTTTGTTGTTAATATATTTGGCTCTCACTGCAGAGCTTAGGAGCTACATTTTTAACATACAGGTCAGATTCTCTTATACCTGCCTTATTGTTTCCAAATGTGTAACATCTGTTACAACAGATCTGGTTAGTTAGTGGTTGTTAGTTGATTTTTCCCCCCTGAATCAGAGCAGACACATGTTTGTAGTCTGAAGATTATGTCAGTCCTTGTAGTTGGGTAGCAGAACAGCACATGAGATTTATTGACTTTCTTGTTGAAGACAGAGTTTAGGCGCTCCAAATATGCACTTCTTACCAATTGTTCCTAGTTTTAAAAAACATTCAGAATATAATTTTTTCCTTATAGGTGGAATTTGTACACATGCTTAATGCCACCATGTGTGCAACAACACGGTCAATATGTGCCATCCTGGAGAACTATCAGACAGAGGAAGGAATCATGATACCAGAGAAATTAAAGGCGTTCATGCCACCAGGTAAAAATAGAAAATGCTAGTGGCCTTCCCTTCAGCAGCCATCCATAATTCTACCTTTTTCTCCATCAGACCATCTGTATAGTCTTTGTCTACTTCCTGCTCTCTCTCTCTCTCTTTTAAATCACAAAGAGTCCTGGACTGAAAGCATTATTGTGGGGTCCTTTTAAAATGCTAAAATAATTGTGATAGTGTTTCTTTAAAGTTAGGGGTTATGTAGAGAATGAAATAAAGTCTTGTTTCCTGTCAAAACCCAGAGCAAGGAAATCCATTATACCTGCACTTTTTACTGAACCATAAACATTTCAAAAGCTATGTTGGTCCTTGAAGTGATAGCAACCTGCCCAAAAAGCATCATCGCCAATTTAGGAGGAGTCTGTAAAACTCTGAGAAAGGATGGTTGCTGCAGTGGTTGTGGACTATCCATTGGTTGTAGTCCTTATTAGTTCAAAAGAGACAGGAAAGGTGGAAAGAAAGTTCCCACAGCCATGTGACCCAGAATTTAACAGTAGGCATGGGGTTTTCAGAATTTGTCGACTACAGCCCCCAGGGGTCTGTAGGAATTCCCACAGCCAGACTTTTGAGGGCTTTAATCAAGAAACGAAAGTACTGACAAGTTCTTAAACCAATGAATTCATACTCTTGGCAGCTATTTTCATCCCGAGGGGAAAGCAGAGAAAATAGATAAGTGGGACTAAGCTTTGTAGGAACTATAAAGGATTGTGGGTCTGGTATGGTTATTTGAGAGGCTTCCTGTGCAGATTCTAATGGGCAGAGACTACCACACCTATAACCGCTGCAACTCCCAAAGAGCTTAGCGCTGCCCACCCATTTCCTCTGTCTTCTCCATAGGAAAAAATGAGTGCTGGAGTCTGAATTTGTTATCTTGAGGATTTGAAATCACCTGGCAGGATTTGCATTTCTTGATTAAGACCCCTAGAAGTCTGGGTGGGGGGAATTCCTGCAGACCTCTGGGGGCTGTGGTCCACAAGTTCTGAAAATCCCCGTGCCTATCCAACAGCACAAGTGGACTAACCAAGAGTACTTTGTATCTAAGAATAGTTTGGTTTGTGTGAATGATAAGAAAGAATGCAATTGTAGTTCAAGCAGAGAGAATCCTTACTAATAAGCTTCTTTTTGAAGTTTGTAATTTGCTCTTTATTTTCTACTTAGGACTAAAAGAAATGATAAAATTTGTAAAACCTGCTCCCATCGATCAAGAACTTTCCAAGAAGCAAAAGAAACAGCATGAGGGAGGCAAAAAGAAATCAGCTGCTGGAGAGTGTGCTCTAGAAGGAAAGATGCAGAGCATGGATGTGAACAGTGCCTAGACATTCTGTGGAGAGTTCACCCTTAGGCACATACAGCAAGGGTCTAACTGTCCTTAGACTCTATCTAGTGTATGAATTGCTGATTTGCCCCGTCCCTCCTCTTGCCATGGGCAAGTTACTTTTTCCAACTCACCTCCCATTCTCTGTACCACAGGAGGATGGTACTTGTCATGGTGGCCCTGAGGATCTGATGGTGTTTGTCTGCAGTTTGAACATGGAAAGCACTGCAGGTGCTACTTCTTCAGCAGTTCCATGTTTTAATTTATGTTAATCATGTGTGCAAATATTTTCTGTCCATGTCCTTTCCTGCAAATCCAAGCAGAGGGAACAAATTGCAGTGTACATCTTCATTTGCTGAAAACCTCTACATAGCAGAAGCAAGAGTCTAAAGCAAAGATCAAAAGGGAAGATAAATATATCTGTAATATTATTTTCAAGACAGTCCTAGCATAATCATAGGACTTTTCCTGATTTGGTGGGACGCATGGAATAAAGCAAATAGTGAAAAAACTTGACAATCTTCTGAGCTGTATTCCATGACTGTCCGTTCAATGGATTTAAATGGGGAAAACCAAAAATCACCAAAAATTAACGAAGACTCAGAACAAAACCAAATTAAGTTTGCACATGTTTCACAAGGTGCACTACCCAATCCAAGCATTTAAAACAGGTTTCAAACATTTTAAGACACTTAAAAATGAGCGAAAACAGACATTGTAAAGCCATTCAAAAGCACTGAAGCCGGCTTCAGTGCTTTTGAATGGCTTTCCCTTGGGGGAAACATTGTTTCACTTAGCGATGTTTCCTATGGGGATTTTCGCTTAAGGATGGCAATCCGTTCCCGTTGGAACGGATTAACCGATTTTCAATGCATTCCTATGGGAAATGGTGTTTCACTTAACAATGTTTTCCCATAGCGATGTTTTTTTGGAACCAATTAACATCGTTAAGCGAGGCACCACTGTGGTAGGTAGTACATCTGGCTAAGCATGGAATCCTAACTTTTTTTTAAAAAAAACAATCTCTTATCCAGTGGTGGATAATACTACAAATAGTGAAAACACTTGACAATCTTCTGAGCTTTATTCCATGACTCTTTGCATTTGTTAACATCGCTTAATTGAATAACATAAGTTCTGTTTGCTCAGTTATGAAATATTGTTTTGCACATATATCCAAGTAAGAGTAATACAATTTGGTAGCCCATGAATGCCAAATGAACAGAATTTTTTCTTATTAGTCAGATAACAGTATGCCCCTCAATCCAGTTGTGTAATAATTTCTCCTAAAGCTGAATCATATATGCTTACTGTCTTTGATATTCTATATAACATGTTTTGTATCCTTAGTTCACCATGATTATCCATTATTTTATAGACATCTTCAACTACTAAAGTTTAATACATTTTGCATAGGTACCCTAGTTATACAATTTGCTCCTCCTTCCATACCACCCCTTTTTCATTTTTAAATGCAAAGGTTCCGAGTGACTTTGAGGGCCACAAAATGCCTCTGGAGGCCTCATGACTCATGACACCACACTTTGCCTACCCTTTTGTTATATAAATATTACATTTATTCTTAACATAAAGGAGACAGATGAACAGAAATCCATTTACTTAATAATTGTCTAGTCTCTGTTCTACTGTTCAAAGGTTTTCAATTACTGTAAGCTCCTCTAGTACATAATTCCGGTATTTGAATTTATATGTTGTAGTGTGATTTACACAGGGGAGGAGTTTATCTAAAGTACTAGATTGCCAGTTTAAGTTTTGTGTTTTTTCCCCCTTGCATTTAATCAGTATACGGTGCAAGGACAGTTCTGGAAAGGGTCTGTATTGTGAAGTGCCATGGAAAATGATAACAGTGAGGTATATAATCCAAACTAATGCAAAACTTCAGTCGATTGATTGAGCTGAGAATTATGCCACCACCACAGTTTTGTTAAGCTACATTCCAGTGCAGCCAAGCACCTGAGTTCAAGCAGACATCTTCCTAATTCTCACAATTGGGACGGTCTTGCAGTTTCCTCTTCCCTCAGCACTGCATGTAGCTTTTGCTGTGACTGTCATACATTTAAGCATGTGGGCCTAGAAATGATAACAATAAGAATTCAAAGTATGCCTGGAACATAACCTTAACCAATAGGGAGGCATTAGTCAATGAGATTAAAGCAGTTGAAATGGTGTCAGACAATAGCTTTGAATAAGAACATGAATTCCAGGGCTTACGTGGATAAGGAAATCATAGTCATATACCTTGCATTTCAGGAAGATTGATCTTAAGCTTGAGTGAAATAGTAGGTAGTACATCTGGCTAAGCACGGAATCCTTACTTTTTTTAAAAAAACACACAATCTCTTATCCAGTGGTGGATAATACTTCTATTAGGATCAACAGTATATGCATAAAAGATGCAAACTTCTGAGTTCTCTCAAACTCATCATCAGGCTGAATCGTTTAAAAAAAGAGAGTAGGGGATGGTGTTGGCTAGCACTTTCAAGCCAAAGAAATCTGCAATAAATTTGAACCCCAAGATATAAATTGGAGATTGGTGAGTCAGAACAATGCAGGTATGATTGCTGGCAACACTCATGAGAAAGAAAATGACAAGACAAATGAGATTTCCAGTCTCATTAACATCTGGCCTTGCATGAAACCCACAGCTTCCTTTGGAGGCATGAACATAGGTGCAATGAAAATTGCAGACCTCATATAACAGCTGGAATGGTAGAGCTGGGCAAGAGCCGCTGCTGCCTGGGAGTTTCTGAAGCGCACCTAAAGTCACAAACACAGCTTGTACCAAGGAGAAGAACAGGAAACAATAAAAAAGCACAGAAATGGAAAATAAAAATGACATGAAGAAAATAACAGGCCAATGAGGACAGGCAGAACTACTGTACATGTTAATAGTATTAGAAAAGCTAAAGCTTTATCTTTGTGATTCTACAGTGTCTCATCTTTGTGCCAGCTGAAATCCAGTCTTCTGTGCATATGTTTTACAATGCAGAAGCCCTGGCCATCTGCACATCTGGCTGCCTTAGAAAATAGGTTACTGAAGTGGGATGTTTCTCTTATCGCCTTTCTGCCAAGTATATCTCCCAAAGCACAAAATCAAAATCATTATTTGAAAAGCCCTGCTGAAAGAATACATTTATGTTGCCTGCTGGTGGCAGTAGAGGCACACATTTCCCTAGTCAGGTTATTTGTGCATCTAAAAAGCAAGGAAAGCTCAAGCAACATATTTATCAAAACCAATCATAAATTGATACTTTGAATTTCCCAGAACTTTTCAGACAGGGATTGTGTATCATGAAAGATGAGAGAGAGAACAAGAAATACCACGCTGGATCAGATCAAAGGCTTATCTACTACAACATTCTGTCTATACAGTAGCCAACCAGTGGGAAATTCACAGACACCACACAAGTGCAATAGCACCCTTCAGTTTACACTTAGATCACCTAAGTGACATGGACCACAACTGAGAAGGCTCTTTCCCACCTGTCACATCTTTGTTGGCAGCAACAACCGGAGAAGAAACTCCAAACTAGGTACAGAGTACTCAAAAGTGGTTTGCCATTGCCGCCTTCTGGGGGTGCTCTGGGAGTGTGGAGCTTGCCCAAGGCTCCCCAGGCTGGCTGTTCTCCTAGGATGAACAGTGGGGGATCAAACTCCCAGCCTACTTAATTTGGACTGCGATTACATAGTGAGAAAAACTGAATGGATCCTCTGTGAAGTCATGTCTGGGAAGTTTGGTTTCCCTGGGTTAATTTGCCTATGTGCCTATCCTTCCACTGGCTGTGAGATTGGTCGTGCAATGCTTCATACTCAAGGCGTTCGGCCAGAACATGAGCAGCACTTACGTAACTTTCATTTCATATGTAGGAACCAATATACTAAAATGACTGTAAGTTATACAGCACCTACTCACCCATTCATATGTGTGTGACCCATAGATTGTGATGGGGACATGTATCACACACCCCAAATATCAGGAAGTGGCACCCCCTTTTCTCCAGTCACAAGTTGCTACTGCAGCCGTAGGCTTTTAGGTACTTTGAATCACTCTGGGACAATTTCCCCTGAGGAACAAAGAGGACAACAAACACAAAACACAATAGAGAGACTTTAATTTCTCTTTAAAATATTTTTTTTTCTGTTTTGCTTGGCTCCACTCTGCCAACATGGACAGAGTCTCATTCTGCCTGAGTTCTTACATCCCATGTCAGTTTATGGAATCTGAAACCCAGAACTTGAATCGAGAACTGGTACTTACTATATTTACCATCAGATATACAGTATTAAGAAAAACTTAAAATTGGGGAGCATGGCAATTTACCAGCAGTTGGTGCTGTGCGAGTGTAACATGGAGGTAAAAACTGTTGTTGAAAAATATCAGTCAGTCAATCAAAATTATAAAAACATTGGCTGTTATTACATAACAGATACAAGTTTTAACCAAAACCCTAAGTATCTGTTAAATATCGGCATAGTATACAGTATATGCTGTTCCTAATATTGCCATTTTCTGTAGTTGATGATGATGATGATGAACATTTGAGCACTGTTCTTTCACAAGAAAGAGCAGCTGCTTACCCAGAGAGTGGAGGACCATGTTTCATTGGCCAGGGGTGTTCCATCCATCTCAGGAGGGAGTATTTGCTTCTTGGCGTCCTTTGATCAGCCACACTGCCGAATAATACCAAATAGAAAGAGAAACAAAAGGGGCAGCTTGGAGAGCCTCCAATTTGTAATTCAAAAAAGGGGGTCACATTCCTGCTTTGCTGCAGCCTCAGCGGGGGAGGGGAGGTTTGGAAGGGTGTGGGGACATGATTTTTTCGACTGAAATGATTGCTTGTTCTTCTATGGCTGCTGCCAAAATCATAGCGAGAATGCAAGAGAGAGAAAAAGAGACTCCCAAAAATTCACTTGAGAAAGACTTTGGTAGACAGATGCTGGCATTATTATGGAAGTTGGTTGTTGTTCTTTTAAGCTCTACAGCTGAGCAAAAGGAGGAATGTAAGCTGGTAAAACCAGGGCTGCGCTGGGGGTTTAAATTTGCACTCCACAGTGGGTTTCCAGTTAATCCAACCTTGGTAAATATCAGAGTTAGTAGCCATTTGCAAACAGCATGCTTTCGGAAAAGAACAAGAAAAAGGACTGGCCATGCTGTTAAGTCATCTTGTGCTTAGCTCGTTAAGTCCTGAGGTTCTTCTTTTTCCACCCCATTTTGAAAACAACAATCCTGCAGACAGTCTCATAGTTCTCAAATCCATGACATGAAGGTGACTGGAAAGCAGGAAGCCTACACTGAGCCTTGGGAAGGAAAAGGAGGTTGGAAAATATACTTTTTTGAACTTTAACTCCCAGAATTCTCCCAGCCAGCGTGACCAATGGGAGATTCTGAGAGCTGTAGTCTAGCTTGTTTGGAAATGCCGGTTGTTCTGGTCCAAGAAGTAACTTTGCAAAGCCTTGAGAAGATGGACGCATAGTTTAAGGTCTGACACCCCTCA